TTCAATACCATACATATAAATAATGTAGAAATATTTTTATTATTATTATTATTAATTAATTGGATAGTTGCTCCTAGAGTTCCACCCGCTCCCTCCCACCCAGTTTTTTTATTATTTAAATAATATTGAGACTTGTTGTCATATAGGCCGGTAAAGATGTCCGCGCATATATATAACCATTTTTTGTTACCTCACAGCAAATATTTAATGCAGCTTCTGTTACAAGCTTCACACACTTTTCCACCGCTTGCGTTTGAAAGGGTAACTTGTTGAACCTTATATAGAAGTCGTCTGCTTGACTTATAAATATTTTTAGTTCTTTTATTTTAAAAAACATTTCCAAATTTATAAACATTTTTAACCCTAAACCGAAAAATTTTTGACGTCAAATTCTAATATTGGACATTTTTTTTGTAAACATATTGTTAACATAAGGTAACTTTTTGTGGCTACCCCAATTAAAATATTTAAAAAAAGTTGGGCCCCCGGGGCACCCCTAAATATTGGGCTAGTACGCTATTTTTTTTCTACATACATTGTTGCCATCCCAAACAAAATATAAAAAAATAATATTTTGGGCCCCCAGGGGCTAAATTTTTTTTTACAAACTACTTTTGGCATAAGGAAACTTTTTTTTGGTACCCCTAAATTGAATTCAAAAAATAATTTTTTCGGCCCACCCTAATGTAGGCGTAGCCGTTAGCACTTGTTTACTAAAATTGAACAAATAGACGAACATTTTTAAAAGAAAATATTAAATAAGCACCACTGCTTTGCCAAACTGAACTTGAAGGGCGGTACCATTACGAAATTACGTCAACTGAGCATAGGGCGTTCTCGCCTTGTTAAAACGCGCGGCCTGCATCTTCTATTGTGTTGCGGTTTTGAGCACTGCAACTCTCTGCTATTTATGTTTGTTTTTACGAGTCAGTTAACGCTAACAATGGTTTGTGGTTGGTCCCAAGAATAAAAAACGACGCTCATTAGCTCATATATGGTATCATATATTTTAAATCCCCCACTTATGAAATGACTATGTGCATAAAGCAAAATGGCACACCAAAACAACAAATTTTCCCTCAGAAACGGGAACAAGGTCATCTATACAAAATGTATGTGTATACACATTACATAACATAAGATAGAGAAATTAATATGTCCACGAATGATACAAATTGTCAACTAAATAGAAGTTATATCAAATTTTTCTAAATAATTTGCTTACATGGCCTGGGTTAAGCTTACAAACATTTCTGTGATTTGACTTTATAAAAAGCAAAAAGTGGCATAATGTGCATATTATGTAAAATCCACTAAAAATCTCGTAAAAATAAGGGAAACAAAAATGCCAAAACAATTGGTATACAACAGAAAACAAACAAAATGGATAATTATAAAAACCATCTACAAATTTACGTCTCTCATAAAAACCTTTGGGCTATGATACGATAATCGTGATCAAAATACGATGTTGCCAAATTCTTGCTTTTATAAATATGCCATTATAAAATCTAAAATATCTAGAGATGGGAATCGAAAAGTTTCCATTTTAAGGAAACTTTCCGTTTTGGAAAGTTTCCAATTGGGAATTTATTTTCATTTTGAAAGTTTCTTTTAAGCTACCGGAAACATTCCTTGGAAACATTCCTTGGAAACATTCCTTGGAAACTTTCCTTGTTTTTTTCATTTCAATGTCAATTGTTTAACCGCTGATTTTCGTTAAGGCCATGATACAAGGCCAAGAAACTTTGAATAAGAATTTAATGTGTGTTAAATTAACACTGTTAATTTAAAGCAGAAGAAGAAGTATAAATAATGTAAGTTATGTTACATAACCTCAATGAAGCCGGATTATTCAGCATCATTACAAAAAACATTTAAAAAAAAGGCAAACAAAATAAAAACAATAAACAAAGTTAAAATCATTCTTAAATTTTTGTTGTTTATTTATAGGCATAGCACAATGCCAAGAGAAAAATCTAGTGTTTGGAATTATTACAAAATAGTGCAAAAAACAAAAATTTTATCAGTCAGAACTGCAATCCTATTTTTAGTATCTTTTACTTTTCAATATTCCCATATATTAGTTACTTTGTCCTTTTTAATTTTTTTACGTAATATCTAGGATTTACTAGCAGTGAATTTCTAATAGTAAACATTTTATTTTTATTTTGTAGGTTTCAGTATACAATAGGACAATAGGAATATTCCAAAGTAAAAGATACTAAAAATAGTATTGCAGTTACATTCTTATAAACATTTTTTTTAATTTTTTTTCTTAATATAATTTGATAAAAGTTGTGTTATATATTTTTGCAAATCCCTGGCATAAAAAAAAATATTTTCGCAATAAAAAAAATTTTTTTGAAACTTTCGGAAAATTTCGGGAATTTTCGATGGAAAGTTTCCGGGAATTTTCGTCAAATGGGAATTTTCCCATCTCTAAAAATATCATCATCTTATTATTATTATTGTTTAATGCTTTTTTCATACAATTTATATATCTACAATTTATTAAAAAGTATTTATTATACTTCTTAAATAGGGACAAAATTAAGTTATTTTTTTTAAACCTGCAATGCCCGCTACCGTGTGAGAACATTTCCCCTACTTTAACCCCACGAAATGAAGACAGTATCTGTTAAAAATGATTTGTATATGTGTGGAAGTATGTGAGTTTTCGCAACGCGCGCGCTATCTGGTGGTGTTCAATAACATTGTGTGAATTCAAGAATTGTAAACAATACATTTAAAGCATAATAACTTTACATAATTTTTAAAGAGGAAGGCAGAAAGAAGTCTTACTTGACAAATTTTGTTCAGTTGTACAGCTAAATCGCGCACGTTATTTGTGTTTCGCGTTGAAAGTAAAAACTAAAAAACTTTGGTTTAGTATTCGATTTCGATTTATTATTTCTTATATCTTTGATTAAAAAACTCAACGCTTATATCATGGAGCCTACACTGGGTAGGCTCCATGGCTTATATGCTTGTATAGTTACGTTAGTGTGTGTATTTTATCTAACTGATCATGGTGAATTATTGTTTTTAATGTAATCTAATGATAACTTTACCTAATATAATTTATATTTAGGTTTGGACATTTTTAAGAATTCCAGCAAACACACAAGTCTGATTATGTAATCGTGGAATATCCTTATCTAATAAATATATACCTATCACATTTAATCCACCATAAAAGATACTTCACTTATCCATTACAATTTATTTAAATAACAACTATAGAATCTTAGCACCCCATATCAGAACCTTTAGCGCGCCATATCAAAAAATGGAATGGTTCTTGTAAGTGCCTTTATTGACTGCCGTTACATGCCCATTAAAGGTGAACGCGACATAATATATACAGTTCCATTAGAGTTAGCCATTATAGGGCCTTTAGTTAATTAAAGGCACGTTTATAAAGGGCCATTATAGGACCTTTACAGTTGTGTTTGCTGAGAATCTTACAAAAAATAATTGTTATACAAACATAACCTTAAAACCGAATATTTTTATATTTGAGTCCTATAAAAAACGCTGGCAATTGACCATATGCAAGGAATGCGGTCGATGTTGCCAATGGTAAAAAAATAAAATTGCCTATTGGGAACATTCAATTATATTACGTTGGCTACATTGAAAATTTGAATTTCCCGCACAAACTAAATTAATTTCCATCTTTTTTTTTAATAATAATAAATAATAATAATTCCCACATTTGAAATTCGCACCTTAATTTATTATACAACATTGGAACTACCTTCTTTATCTCTGGGAACTACTAGAATGTATGTCAGTTTGTGCGGGAAATTCAAGTTTTCAATGTAGCCAACGTAATATAATTGAATGTTCCCAATAGGGAATTTTATTTTTTTACTATTGGAAACATCGACCGCATTCCTTGCATATGGTCAATTCATGGCAACATAATATTATATATAATTATATATTAATTAATATATTAATACATAATATAATACTGGTTCTTGGTATTTTACTGTTGAGTGGAGACTTTCTAAATGCTGAATTTCGACGACATTTGTTTTACGATTTCTACTTTATTGAAATGCTTACAATATTCACGTAAATCCTTACTAAAATGTGTATTTATTGTATCTAATAGGTACAACTTATATTTACAGGGACTGTATGGAATTTATTTCTTCATTCGTATTTCCACTGTTTATAGACCTATCCCATAAAACAGACTTTTGGATAGCGCGTGCCTGAAGAAGAGTGGTATCTCTTTCTCTTTTATATAATTAAAAAAAGACGACGTGCCTTTTCACGCACGCGCTATCCAAAAGTCCGTTTTATGGGATAGGTCTATTGGGAAACCTGTAAAAACTCAACCCAGGATTTCCTCTTGAAATACATCCAACAACACAACAAATCGTGCCACGTTTTTTTCCCGATATTTGTAACATTTTCCGGCTTTATTCTCTAAAACACATGTTTGTAACATACGCGTTTGACAGCAGCTTATTAAAAGCTGGATTCTGGTTACGATGATAACAGCCACGTGGTGGCGCTTCTTTCGCGTATAACATAAACCATGGTTATTTTAAAAACGCTTATTAATGGTCGAGATGTTCTTAAAACTGCTTAAAAGTGCTCGAGCGATTTTAAAAAGTGCTTGGGATTACAACACAACCAACAAATTAGTTAATTTTTTATTTGCAAGCGTTTAAAAATACTCGAGAATGTATGATGCTCTAGTTTTTAGTTATGGCGGGAAATAACGAGCACTTTTTAAAATTGCTCTATCGCTTTTAAGCATTTTTCATGAGCATTTTTTAAATAACCAGGTTACTTATGTTTTAATTTAGCTTTTTAGTTTTGGCGGATAATTCAAATATCAAGCACTTATTAACATGTTCGAGCATTTTTAAAAGTGTTCATCCTTCTCTACCGGTTTACGGTATTTTTAAAATTGGATTGGCTAATTAACTTCATTTGTAGGATTTAGTTTAGATGATATTTTTGAATATTTTTAGGTGTAAAAGTTGTAGAAAACTGCACAGTACGCAAAGTGTCTCAGACAAACGGCAGAGTGTCCAGCGTGGAAACCGATTTGGGTACCATTGATTGCGACTACTTTGTTAACTGCGCAGGGTTCTGGGCAAGGGGAGTTGGCCAATTATCTGAACCCTACGTTAAGGTGCCACTGCATGCAGTGGAACATTATTACCTGCACACAAAACCTATTCCAGGGCTGGATCCTATGACCCCAGGTGAGGTTTATGGGAGTTTTTTGTTCAAGAAAAATATTCCAAAATAGGTTTTAAAAATGTATTATGTTTGTTATTTTTTTTTTCAGTCGTGAGAGACCAAGATGGGCACATTTATTTTAGAGAAAACAATGGTAGATTACTGGCTGGTGGCTTTGAACCAGTTGCAAAGCCTGCTTTTGAAGATGGAAAGATACCAGGTAATTAAAGTATTTAAAAACAAAACAACACCTATCTACATCCAAATAAAATACATTTTTAATTCCTAAAAAATCGGCAGTTACCAGCAAAGATCGTTACCTTCCAGAAGATTGGGACCATTTCCATGTGCTACTGGAACAACTTTTACACAGAGTGCCAAGTTTGGGAAATTCTTTTTTTGATAGATTATGTAATGGACCGGAAGCCTTTAGTCCCGACTGCAAGTGGATTGTTGGAGAATCTCCAGAGGTACCAAAATTATAATTTTGTTTAAAAAAATTATATTTTATGAGTTTTAGATTAGAAATTATTTGGTGGCTGCCGGTATGAAAACGGTTGGAATTTCGGCGGCCGGTGGAGTAGGAAAAGCCACCGCAGAACTGATTGTTAAAGGAGAGACTGATTTTGATATGTATGAATTAGAAGTTTCTAGATTTTTAGGCAAGTATTTGGTATATTAAATCTAAATTTTTAACATGAACTTTTTATTGTTTGGTATAGTAGTTGCAATTTCCAGAAAATTTGAGCGCGCGAAAAAAAGCGGTTTTTTCTCTGAAAAAATAATGAAATTATACAAAATATTAAATGCATTTTTTTCGTATTATCCGTAGTAAGTAATGATTTTTTTACATTTTTAGAACAATTGACCTGGATTTTTTCTCGATTTTGATGATTTTTTGTTTTTATTCTGCAAGGTGCACAAAAAGTGTCTTCGGAAAATTGGATTTAAAAAAAAACGTTATGAAATTATTAGGCGCCTTTCAGGACATTATTAATTTTTCTGATATATATATTTTATTTGCAAATATTTATATAATTTGTATGTATTTATAAAATTTTTCCATATATATATATATATATATACACATATAAACGGTCATTGTGCAGCCCATTCTATATACAAGCTATACTCTGTGTAGCCCGAAATGACTTTGTGTGGCCCACTCCCGGGCTGAACAACGTTTGACGTTATTTCAACGCTAATCGATTAATCACGGTGTTGGGAACCCCAGGTTAAATTTTTGGCAGGGCTTAACAACGACCGGTTTAGCCATAGTTACATACAGAATAGTTCATTGAATTTAACTGTAGGTGGCGCGCTGTAGTAAGTGTATCTAGAATAGGAATCCTAGATATCTTACGGTTCTTGTGTAGCCCTAAATCCGGCAACACTGCAAACACAAATTTTTCGTAGGAAGATATTATTTAATATCAAGCAGTGAGCAGAGTTTTAACGCTGCCGCGCGCTGTAAGTTCGATACCGCGACTTAGTCAGAGATTTATTCGAATACTTTTAATTGTTTTTATTACTTAATGTATTATAGAATGTGCACAATGAGCTTTATTTTTTATTAAAAATTCTTTTTAAAAATATAAAAGGCAAAAAACATTAATTGTAAAAATTATTCAAAAGCTTTTACTGGTAGAACATACATACTTTATTAAGTTGTAATAAGCAGTTTAAATTTAATCCCTTAATCAGACTTTATAACTTTTTTAGTTGAATGTTTTAAAAATAGAAATATTAAAATATTTTACTAAAATTGGGCATATTTTTAATTAGAAATAATCCATAAGGTACACACTCTAATAATCCAAAATTTGAAGATAATTTTTTTTTATTATGTTGTAATAAGTGGATCAAATTTCAACACAAAGATTTTTTTTTTAGGAATTTAAAAAATTAGCTAAACATGTCTAATTTGAAATATCTTTCGGAAAACATTATTTTATTGTGTTTTATTTAATATATTAGGCCTGTTAGAAGCAAATTAATTTGTAAAATAAAAATAAATAAAATCATAAAATAAAATAAAATTTCATCGTATTTTATTATTTTAATGTGCTTGTTTTAAAAATAGCCAAAATATTGCGATTAGTCCTCAATCGGGTAAATTTTTAATCAAAAACATCTCAGAAGGGAAAAAAATCAAAATTTTGCGATTTCTCCAAAATCGGGCTTTTTTATTCTAAAATATCTCAAAAGGTACTAACTTAAAATCTAACAATTTCAGAAAAAAATTTTTCATTTTGTTGTAATAAGTAATTTAAATTTCAATGAAATTATTTCATCAGTATACTACCTATAGCACTTTATTAGTTCTTTCTATTTTCTTATATACTTTCTTATATATTATAATAAAAGTTTTTTGTTTAAAGCCAGTATTATTATTTTTTGAAAAACGCAGATTTTTGACAAAATTAATTAAAAATAATGAAAATTTTTTCATCCTATCTTTTAAGTTTAAAACCAAATTTTTTTATATAAAGTTTAATTAAATCATATCAATTTACGATTTTTAACTTTTATATTCCCACTTTAATGGGTGTGAAATTTCACGAGGGAATTTTAAAAACAAAACAGCAGAACATAATTAATTTGTGCTGCATAAATCTACTAAATAATTTTGTTTTACTCAATGTAGCCAATTATAAGTTAAGGGTCCCTAGAATTTGCAAACTAAATACCCAAATTCGGAATAAAAAACATTTAATTGCACTAATTAAATAAATAAAATCTGACATCTGTCAAATGTTTTTATCAATTTTAAATGTTATTATAGTCGCCTTCTTCCAATTTAAACCCCGATTGGTTAAAATCACAGTGAATATTGAAATCGGCCAATAACTGATGCCTAACAACGTGAATAATGAGTTTATTATTTACGTTGTTAGGCAGGAAATTTAAATTGTTTAACAATATTCACGGAAAAAACCCGAAATTACTGTACATTTATTTAGTTATACCTACTCTGCAGGAATAATGACAAAGTTTAATTGTAATAATTATTAAAAGTAGTTTTTTTATAATATCCTAATTTTTGATAAATTTTGTAAAATTTATTTGTTATTTGGTTATATTTGTAATGTGACAAACTTTCTTAAATAAAAAACCAGGACATAACATCGCCCTTCCAAAAAATAAACAAAACTTATTTATTCGATGTTTTTATATGAATGGAATTTTTTTTGTAATTCCAAGTTAAAAGTGGATTGCATACTTTTTTGGGATTTGAGGTCGACATGGTAAGTCAAAATAATTTATGTTAGAAGTCTGCTAAAAATATACAAATGGTGATTATAATATTTAAATTTAATTTAATAAGGGGCAAATAAAATTCAATTAGGTAATCCTACATACCAGTATTATAATATTTAAATTTAATTTAATAAGGGGCAAATAAAATTCAATTAGGTAATCCTACATACCAGTAATTATTAGTATTTATTCCCAGACAATACGAAAACTGTTTTTAAAAAATAAAATGTAAAACCATTGTTTTAAAATAAGTACCAAAATGTAAAAACATTGTTTTAAAATAAGTAACAAAATGTAAAAACATTGTTTTAAAATAAGTACCAAAATGTAAAAACATTGTTTTAAAATAAGTAGGTAAGTAGATAAAAATGGTGACAGGAGCGAGCTAGATCAGATCACCTATATTAGAGATGTGCTAATAACGTCAATTATAAAACAAGTACAAACCAGGACCAAATCTGCAAAACCAGGACAAAACCAGTACAAAATTGAAACTAGGACACATTAGCAAAAAGTTTGCGAAGCTTTTCATCTGCGGCAGTGCCAGGCAAAATGGTTGTTGACCAGTGTAATTAATAATTCTTACTTACCTTTTTTATCTTGTCGCAATGTGTAAACTATTATCGGGGGTGCTTAAAAATTATCGATAATTTTGCTTGAAAGCAAATTGCCTAAAAAATGCATGAGTTTATTTTCATATTTTGGAAAGAGACACCGAAGGTGGAGGGCTCTTTCCTCAAAATATGAAAATGACCGAATGCATTTTTTAAAGGGCAATATGCTTGAATGCAAAATTATCTGAATATTTTTATGCACGAGTGTAATTTGTTTAGATAATTATACGAATAAACTAATTAAATCAAAGAAAAACATTTTCAAATATTTTAATTTCAACACAAAACTTCATTTAACAAATACCTAATGTAAACTAAAAAAATTAATAATTATAAAAAATATGACATTTTAAATAACTGTCACATTAAAATAAAAACTGACGTTATTTTTATTAATTGCCATGGATACGTAAATACAATGGAATTATCGATTCCACAAACGGGATGCACAACGAACACAAAGTAAAACGGGATGCACAACGTTGAACGTATGAAGAATAATACGAAAATAGGCATTAAATGCAAATTTATGTCCCGTGATCGCCGCGTGGCAACAAAACAGGTGGATAGCGCTGTTCTTATTGGACAATTCGTACGCGTTGGCTTGGTGAAAACCGGCAACGTTGCGGGCTAAACAAGAACCGTCTGCTTGGTTTTTACATACACGAGGGATGAATAACGTACTATATATATCTTATGGGCTTTACAACGTACCATAAATAAAGAGATCATTAAATTAACTTATATATTTACCCCTCTTGGTATTTCCTATATTAAATTATGTTAACAAACACTTAGCAAAGATATATACTCGTCTAACCACGTTAGAAATGGTGGGTGGCAGAGCGCCCCAATAGTATCTCGGGCTAAACAACATACCAATTATACGTATATATATATATATATATAATTTTTATAAAATATTTTTATTTTTTTATATATATAAAAGTTTTTATTAATATTCAAAAATTTCTAGGTATAACTTAAAAAATTTTCTATATCTCAAAAAGTTTTCTATACCCCAAAAAATTTCTATACCTCAAAAAAGCGTTTGGCAAACTTTGTGATAAAAACAGCTTTCATATTACGCCGCTAGATGGCAGCGCTGAAAGCCGCTTTGAGCAACTATTATCTGTACGTTTGGCAACTAAGGCTGATACACAATTGCCCAAAGCAGCGTTCACAATCAAACGGGAACAAACAGGGATTTTAGCGTTTATTCTTATTCTATGATCTATAGTGATTTTTTGAATGCATATTTTGTAAACATACATGTTACCTGGGATTAAAATGAATTAAAATCAATTAAAACTATTAATTTTTCATCAAAATAACCATACACTATATAGTGTATAATGTGCAAAGTATTCAAACTTATACAGGGTGTCCCATAATTAGCGTGCAAAAATGGGAAAAAAAGTTCCTATAAACATAGGTCGAGAAATGCTTTATAAGGGAGCTACAGCCCCCGAAAGAGGAGCCCCTGAAGATGGTTTTTATTTAATATCTCTAAAACCGTTCAAGATAGAAAAGTGAAATTTTAGGATTTTATTAAACTTTTTATGACCAATAACAATAATAATAACAATTTCAAAATTTTTATGAGCGGTAGTCAGATAGATAGGGGGTAGGGGTTAAAACCACCCCAACTTTTTTGTACGTGTCTTGTGCCAGGATTTGATATCAGACTATAAAATTTTGGAGTTTTACAAATAAAAAAGGTCATCTTGTTGAACTTTCATATCATGCACCGTTTTCGCTTAAAATCGATTTAAAAATTACCTTAC